CCCCCAAAGCCCCAGTAGATAGTTGTATGTCATAGCTGCACATCCTTCTAGTTGCTGTATGTGGGACACGGCCTCAGCATGGCGGGAGAAGCGGTGCGTCGGTGCGCGCCTGGGATCCGACCCTGGGCCGCCAGCAGCGGAGCGCGCACACTTAACCGCTAAGCCACGGGGCCGGCCCCCGAATTTGTATTTCTAATGTGTTCCCAGATCATGGTGATGCTGCTCGTCAAGAAACCACACTTTGAAAGCCGCTGAACTAAAGTAATATATATTACTGATGATTTTAATAGCTAATTTTATATTCATTTATTCTAGAGACATTATTAAGCATTTCTTTGTGCCCAGGACAATGCTAGTTGCTGAAGATGCAAAGCTGAATAAGTCAGCCTTGCTTTCCAAGAGGTCATAGTGTAATGGGATCACCTGTCCCATGGAGGAGTATCTACTTTCATGGAGGAGAAGCGTGGAATCAGAGGCAGAAGAATTCCTCTGCTGTCAGTGCTGGAGGAAGGGCTGGTGTCCCCCACTCCCTGTGCCTCCACTTTCCTCAGCCCTCAGGGTGTCTCTGAACAGTACAGAGAAGAGACCAGCATTATTTCGCTGCCTTCCCATCCAAACCCGATGACCTCAAAATAATAAACATTTAGTTGAGAGAAGGAAGTATGGATGAAGAAACAAACAGATTTTTATTTGGTTTATATCTAGGTAAGAACTTTGAATGTGATTACCGTCACAGAGCACTTTCTGGAAGCAAAGAGATTTTTAAAAATCTACTAAGTTTTTAAGGTAATTATACTGCCAGAGATACACGCCTTTGACTGTTTGAGGCTTAAACAGCCTTTGGGCCTCCAAACTTGCATCAGCAGTAAGAGGCACAAGACTACTAGGAGTCACTGAAGAGGGCATAGTTCCCAGTGCTCACTTTAAATGTGGGCATGGAGAATGATGAACGTGGAATAATCTTCCAGAAGGCAGAGCTAGGGACCATGAGAGCAGTGGACAAAGGACTTCTTCCCAGAGAGCAGAGCAGCATTTAGTCTAGGAACTTTCCCTGTCTCCATACTAGGGAACCTTCCCAATACCTGCCTAGCAGGGTTTTTATCATTATCAGGGATAGGCATCCACTGGTTTTCTCCCATTGTCATTCACTGGAAGTTCCTACAGCTCTTGTTCTGCCCCTTTTCCATCACTATGTGCTGGTTAATTATGCATATTGGGGTGAGAGGAGGTTTGGATAACTTGCTTTTTAGTTCGTAAGTTGCCAGACTGAATGAAGCCACATACACTCTTGATGGAGTGTTGAACACATCATTCAGACATCCTAGACTTTGAGCTAGCTACAGGAACTAGATGAACTTTGGATGGTCTCTCTTGAGATGATGAGTGTGTTTTGCATGAAAAGTGTGCTTGGATATTTGAGGGTTAGACTCTGGAAGAGATGATTCATGGAAAAGATTTGTGCTACCCTTCCATATTGTAGAAATGTAATTGGGAGATGTCTTCCTAGCTCCTCTTACATCTGGGCGGATCGCTTGAATAGTTATTATCAATGAAATGTAAGTGATTTCATTGTTACAATCAATGATTGTAAGTAATGTGTATCCTACCTGGCCTAGATGGTTAAGGACCAGTATGCCCTCTCCAACTCCTTTCCCCCATCCACCAGCTAGATGTTGATGTCCAGGGTGACTGTGAGGGTGTTGAAGATGCTAGAGGTAAAAGATGAAGCAGCCTAGATCCGTGAGTTACCAAGAAGAGAGTCACTTGACCACTCCCACACTGGATTGTTGCATGAGGGAAAAATACTTTATTTTCTAGATGAAGTCACTGAGATTTGAGAGTTTATCTGTTAGTGTTACTTTAATCTAGGTATTTGTTATTTACTTATTTTTCATTAAAGCATGAGTGGGGGCTCAGGAGAAAGAGCAGATTAAGATTTAAATAAAATTACTACATTTTTCTCTGCATATCTGAAGTGTAGGATGGATTAAATTTTTGACCTTATCACATAAATTATGCCTCTTAAATAATCCTAAGAGGCAGCTATTATGAGCTTCATTATACAGAAGAAGGAACAGCGACTTAGAGAAATTACGTAATGTGCTTAGGTCACGGGTGATAGATTCAAGATTTATACCCTGGTCACTCACTCCAGCACCCACATTCTTTCCCCTCTCCCACTCTACCTCTCTGCCAGTATTGCTGATGTGAGCAATTTCTCTGAAGTTGGCTTCCTACTGAGTATAAACTGCTTTTCATATTTTCATCACTTCTTTCAAGAAAAGGAGACTTCTACGAAAATGGTTGAAATGAAAAATCCACCTGAGGACATACTTATAAGCTAAAACTGACAGAAGAGAGAGAGAGAGAGCTGAGACTGGGACACAGACAGACTTTGGAGACCTTCGCTAAGGCCAAGCCATTCCTGAAAGCAAAGAGGAAATACCTGGCATCTACCAACTGAGCCCTACAACAAGATACCCTCTGGCTCAAGTTCACAGAGCATGTCACTGGACACAGGGCTAGAAAGGCTAAATTGGCCTGAA